TTTAAATCTTTAGGAGTGACGAAACTTTATAACATAATATGAATCGAAGTTGGATGAATGCACGTCGTATTAGTGAAGAGTACGAAAAGGGAGTTGAGGAATTTCTGAAATTTGCTAGTGAAAATGGAAAAGCTATGAAAGGGACATATTATTGTCCATGTGTTCGTTGTTTGAATCAAATTCGTCATAAACTTGAGGATATACGTGATCACTTGTTTGTTTATGGTATTATTAAGAGTTATACAATATGGACATGGCATGGAGAAATATTAGACATCCCAACTGTGTCAACTACAGACAATTTTGATGAAGGGATGGATGATAATCTAGAGGATATGATACGTGATATTGGTGAAGAACATTTTATGAAAGCACATCTATATGATTCTTTGAAATCTGATTTTGCGCAACAATTGTACATAGGATGTAGTTTTACAAGATTATCAGCAACTTTAAAATTGTTTACTTTAAAAGCAAGAAATGGATGGACTGATAAAAGTTTCACCGAATTATTGTATATAAATGTTTAATTAATTGTTATCATTTGTTTAGGAGGACTTGCGTCGTGCTAAGCATAAAAAGCAACCTATTATTGATGAGGATCTGACAGAATGTGATGATGATCCCATCTCTATGTTGTTAGCCGTATTACCACGGTTGAGGAAGAGACCGTGTCAGATACAATGGGATGTTAGAGTGTTTGGAATTGACAATTCCAGTGTTCCATTGTACATTTCCTTGCCCGATGCTTTAGAAATTGCTGGGGGAAATTGCATGTTAAACATTTCCATCATACAATTGTGGGCAATGTAAGTCATTTTCATTTATGTTTCTAAGATTATAATAATTATATTCAACTTATAATTAATTGTTTTAGGTACCTTGACAATTTGAGTGTGGAACAAGAAAAATCCGAAGTATACGGATTTATTGAGCCTCAATCCATCCAAAAATCTGAAATACAAAGGTTGGAATCCAACAATATATGCAAACATGGATGAGTGACTCAAGAAGACATATATATTTGGCTCCATACATTGAAGGGTTAGTATTTTGATTTGTATTTTAATTTATATTTTTGTAACTAATTTTTATGTCATACAATGTAGGTCCCATTGGCAGTTAATTGTAATCATACCCGGGATTACACCGTGGTATGGTTTTGTTCATTACATCGGAAACCGAGTCAAGAAATGAAAAGCTTATTACAAGGGTAACTTTATCTTTTATTCATTAATTATGTTTTTAAATTGTGAATACATATTGAATAATATATGACTTTTTTTCACTTAGAATCGTGTACTGGAACTAATGTTCTAAGTGGAAAACCTAGAACAAAGACATTGCAGCTTCATTTATCCTAAGGTTAGAAACTTATTTATATAAGTGAATACCATAATTATTGTTTATATTTCAATTTTGAAAATAATATTATGTTTTTTTCATCATTTCGAGTGTAATAAGCAAACTGACTCGTTTGAATGTGGTTACTATGTAATGTATTGGATGAGAGCCATAGTTTGTGCGGGTTTAATTGATTCTTGGACTGAGGTAATTACTTTTAACATTAGTTAAGTTTATTTAACTTTATTCATGTTGCATGCTTACAAGAGTCAAATTCATGTTTCGTGTATTTCAAGATCCATCTCCATTACCGAATCCGAGATTACGTAAATTAGAGAACAATGGGCAAAATTTTTTGTTCTACAATTCTAGTACATTATTTTTTATGTTCTTGTTCATATTATATTGTGTGTATTATGTAGTTTAGTTTAGTTTGTATAGGTAGCTTAGTTTGTATAGGTAGCTTAGTTTGTAATAGATTTTTTAGTTTGTATGTTTGTATTATTTTGTTTTATTATGTAGTTTGAATTATATAATATTATATTTTTAATTTACTAGCAAAAGAAAACTGCTCGGACTGTCTGGTTGTAATTTTTGCAGTGTTTTAGTTGTAAAACGTAGTAAATAAACCCAATTTAAAAAAAAACGGTAAATTTACGTCGCATATTGGTATATACGACGTAAATTTACGTCGCATATACCAATATGCGACGTAAATTTACGTCGCATATACTATATGCGACGTAAATTTACGTCTTATATTGGTATATGCGACGTAAATTTACGTCGTATTTACCAATATGCGACGTAAATTTACGTCGTATATACTGTATGCGACGTAAATTTTCTGTTTTTTTTTTTAAATTGAAAAGGTTTTTACGTCTGTTTATTGTATATGCCACGCAAAATTACGTCGTATCTTCATAACTGACGTAAATCTACGTCGGGTAAAAGGGTTCGACGTAAATTTACGTCTCCCGCTTTTACGTCGGACTTAAATACGACGTAAAAAGCCCTAAATACCTGACGTAAAAGCCCCTTTTTGCACTAGTGGCTGCACCTTCACCCTCTCCCTGAAAATTTGGACTATCCTCAGGCCATTGAAGTAAGGCATCAAATTTTTGTGGAGATATCCACTGCATACCTAGAGCAATTTGCAAAGACAGGTTATAAAAATTTGTATTAATGCTGATTGCTAACTGTTGCAATGTTAAGTGCTTTATATACTGCATCATTCTTTAAAAATCTTGTTGTTGTTGAGGTGGTGGAGGTGGTTGTCGGGCTTGGCGTGGTTGGCAGTGCTGCTGTGGCACTGGCTATGTTGCTCCCTCTGCAGGATTAACACAGTTGCGCTCTATGAATTTTCTATTGATTGGTGGGCGGATGTTCAACGAAGGATTGATATCCACCCCATGTGCTGCACAGAAAGCTGTGATGAAAGCAGGAAATCCAAGAACCTTGGCTTGCTCTGTTCGTCGCCCGCTTTCCAACACTACAAATTGGTATATTTTTTTTAATAGATTATTGCGGCGACATCTATCATGATTACTGATATCTTCTTTTCCTTAAGTTTTCAACCTTTTTTTTGCATGACAAATAAATAGGCTTTATTAAGTAAATGTCACAAATATATATTTGTCTAACCAAATAATAGTTGATAGGATAAACACGTTCAAATTGAACGCTACTTGTCTACATGATATAATGATAATTCAACCTTAAACTCGTTTGGTCTTTATTCCTCAAGGAACTCGACCTCCAAAATTGGTGGCTTGAGTACCTACCCGATCTAAATCCATTAAAATCACTTTATTTATTTAATTATCTTGTTATACATTATCTTATTAATTATTTTTTATATATTATCTTATATTGATTATTATCTTTTGAACCATCGGTTATTATTTTTTGAACTATTACTTATTATCTTTTGATTAATTATTATCTTATAGGTTCTAATACAAGGAAACTTAGTCGGAGACTAAATCTCATCTTATAATTATTTTCAAACACATTATTCTCTTGTTTAAAAGTTGACTTGAGTGTCAAAGTGTCTTTTGCAAGTAGACCTCTGCTCTTTTTAAAGGAAGCTACTTTCAATCATCTTAAAGTTACAACTCAAAATCTTATTTACAGATCCCTCGGTTCAATCTCACACCCTTTTGCTGACATCCACTAATCCGATAAGAACATTATCGTTACACTCATGAGTCTCACATCACTTAGGAGTCGATACAAAAGGTAGTTTATATACGTCCTGTTCTCTTAACCCATTTATGCGTCTTTGAAGAATAAAATCGTAACGAATCAGAACTCTAAAGTAGACAATACCTCGAATAAGGGAATTGACCTTAATACTATCATAACGGACATGAGACCGAAATATTCTTGTTCCTAAGAACATTAACAATTGTAGAAGAATATCCACGTATCCATCTATTTAATAATTTTTATTATAAAATATTTTATAAAAAAATATTTTAAATTTGTTTTATAGTAAAATATTTAGCAACTTTTCAGCAACAAAAATCTCTAAAATTAATTTATATCAAATAAAAAAAGTTTATTTGATCTAATTTAAATTTGTATTAAATTAAAATTAAATTAAATTTAATAACATTTAAAATAACCATCGTGATTCAAAACTTATGTAAAGTCTATCCTTCGGCTCTCTGTTCGAATAAAATTATATAGGTACATAAGGTTATTTTTAATTATGGATAGTTTAAAGAGATAAGTTGTTAAACATATATATTTGTTTGAAAATGTTTGATTGAAGAAAAATTACTTCTATTAAAATTAATATGATGTCATCTGATCCGGTCACATTAAATAAGGGCTCGAAAAAGAAAATCTATAGACTTTTCACTTAAATATTTTTTAGTTTCCATAAAATTAACAAATTTTTATTACAGTTATAATTTTTTACTTCTCATCTTTCAAAAAGTTAAATCTTACTTCTAATATCAAATGTTATTTTATTTTTATAATTTTGTTTGTAGTTTTAATCGCTTCAGAATCTAAAATAATTATTGTTAGTTTTTAAAAATAATTATAAGAACAATAAAAATATTAATTTTAGGGACCTAAAAAATATTATGGAAGCATCATGTTAACAATTATACTATAGATCGGGATGTTTATCTAAGATGGCCATAAACTATAAACATCAAGATTTAAAATTTTCATAGGTGAAAATGAAAGATTTTAATTTTTTGAAGAATTTTGTAATAAGGACTAGAACAAAAAGTTGTTAATTTTATACAGAACGAAGTACATGTCTATATGTTTTTTTTTTTTTTTAAGATATTGCAGATGATCAACATGTTAATAATAGAAGACATAGGTGTTCACAAAATATTGGTTATATATAATTGATGTTTGAGGATTAGAAATAGACTTGACGATGTATATATTCAAGAAAATTAGAACAAAGAGGAGTAGGGTAAAGAAGAAAGTATTTCATAACATATTGCTTAATTTTTCAAGCAGGTAGATTACATTACACATATCTCACGTACTCTCTTGAAATATGTATCCTTTATACATGACTATTATACACACATCATGTGTATGTATGTGTGGTTATAAAGTATGCATGACTTTGACATTTCACCAAGGCTTCATTCATTGATCAATGACAAGTTGCGTATTGGTCAGGCTCGAGGACCATTCACCACCTTTCCTGAAGAACATGTGGATCCAAGAGGCTGATAATTGATGTATCTGCTTGGAGCAGAAGATCGTCGAAACCCTTTTGGCAAACAAGCTTCCACACTCTCTGCTTTGAAACCTCGTTTTTCATTGCCTTTCTCAGCCTTCAAGTTAATGTATCTAGGACCATTATGTTCCAAGGGTCTTGCACCAGCCACACAAACGAATGTAGAACACCCTCGTGTGTTGCTGGCATGAGGGTTCAGAAGTAGGATGAGAAGGAGCAGGAACTTGGAGAGAAAAATGGTAGACATTTTGGGAGTGTTTGAACTGTTATTACGCTTAGAAGTTGTAGGCTTTTTGAGTGTGTAATGCTTGGATGAAGGTTAAAGGTGAAGATGGAGGTCTTAAATAGGGTCATGAGGATTGGAAGTAGATACAGATATGACCAACTCATTGCTAGCTAGCGAGGCATTCTTGCTGGCCACAGTGCTGCTTGCTGAGACAAAACTGTGACTTTGATAACTTTTTCAAGATGCAACCAAGACTGCTCGTGCCTTTAATAACTATCTTCTTTCATTACCTTTGACCATCCTAAACATATACTCTTGTTGTTAAATACCATATTTTTGTTGTTACTAATATATTTTCTGATAATACACCTTTGACCACAGTTCCCAAACACACATGTAGTGAAAGAAATGTCATTGGATGAGTTGAGTTTGAAGAAAATGATGTTGGCACATGGAACAATCTTATTGGGCCAAGTGTTGTTGGAGTAGCTTACCTGTGTTAAATTATTATGGCCGGTCCCTTATCCATCTTCTACTACCTTACATGTCTTCTTTCTTTCTCTGCCACGTGTCCTCTATCATATATTGCATTCTAGGTCGAATCTTATAACTCACCAACCATTATTACACACATGCATATCTATTCCTCGTTGATTTTATTTCCAGGCAATTCATTGTGTTACTTTAAGGGTGCAGGAAGTAATTTATTGGGTGAACAAAGCAGAGGCCTAAGTCCAATCTTATGAGGCCGTTTTGGTAACTAAGCCCAAAAGTACATTAACCTACAAGCCCTTCTCAAATATACAGTGATGAGTTACTCAACTTGTTTTCAAATTTCTTAATGGTTGGATTAAAGAGCATGTCCAATTTTAATTTTATTTGGACAAAAAGACCCCTTTTAGCTGAATTCAGCTTCTGGGTTTCTGCTAAAAATTTGGAAATTTCGGATGATGAATTGGGCCAGCTTATTTCCCCCTGGACTTAGGCTTGTTGCGTGAGTCTTCACAAGAAAAATGAGACTAGGCACTCACTTTCTACACTCCATAAATTTCTTCTAGCACCTTCAATTCATTTTAGAATGAGTTTTATGTAAACAATACATTCCGAAAATACCATTCCAGAATAAATAGGAGAAAGTTAAAAAAAGTTTATTATTGGTTGTAAAAAGAAACACCGAAGAGATTAATGTGCTAGTAGTGCTATAATGTTTTTTTTGTTTTTAAGTTTTATAATTAGTTTTAAAAAAATTATTTTATATCATTAAAAAGGAATCATATTTTTCTTTTTAGAAAATATCGTCCTTCTTTTGATATTTGTGACCACATATTTTTCTATGGTAATACGTGGTCTTTATTATTTTTTTCTTGATTTGTGTATTGATAGCAAATTTTACAAATTTAAAAAAATTTAAATATATTGAATTTAAAATATTTTTTATTTAACATGGTTTAATTTTCTAACTTTTTTTATTCATATAAGGTTGTTTAAATTTATTTAATTTAAATTTTCTTGATTAGATAAAATATTTTTATCAAATTATAAATATTTTCTATGAAAAAATAAAATATCGACGATGATTGTGATCATTTTTACCAAATTATAAATATATCAAAAATCTAATATTGAAACATATTATATTAATATAAAATTACAACATGTTTATACTTGTTTTAATAATTCTTTTGACTATCTAATTTTTAATATCAGATGAAATAAAATGTGTAGCTGATTTCTTCAATTTTAGTTATCGTAGCTTCAAATGTCCCGTTATGATATGGATATTTAAAAAGTAGCAATTTTGATTAATATATTTGAAAAATGAATTATTTCAATCCAATATTAACTTACCATCATTTTTATTATGATGTAATCCAATTAACTAATTCTTTTAAAGTTGAAAAAAATGTATTTCCTAAATTAATAATATTAAACTTTTTCCATTTTATAATAAATTAGTTAACATGTAAAATTTAATTAGTTAATATTACCTTTTTATCATATTTGTTGACAATTGAGATTATTAATTTTCAAATATACTTGATAAAAATCAATCAATTAAATCAATAAAGTAAAGGATACTGAGAGAAGAGAGAAAGAAATAAGAGATGTATTCTTTTATGTATATATGAAAGAGTAATACACCCTTATATAGGGTTAGAACACGTACATTAAATAAAAAGTAGAAAAACTGAAAAGTAACTATCATATGATAAACAATTATCATATTTGGCTTACTTTCAAACACCAATACACCTTCCTAAGCCAAATTCACTTTTACGCTAGTTACACCAATTAATTTCCTCAGTATTTTAAACCTATCACCTTTTAATGCCTTTGTTAGAATGTCTGCACACTGTAAATCAGAATTGCAGTATTCAATTTTCAAGTTACCATTGCTGACTTGTTCCCTTATGTAATGAAATTTGGTCTCTATGTGTTTACTCCTACCATGAGATGCTGGATGTTTTGTAAGATTAATTACTGACTTGTTATCTACAAGTAGCTTCACTTTCTCTGTCATTTCAAATTTCAACTCCTTTATTAATGAACTTAGCCAAGCAGCCTGACAAGTTGCTTCACAGGCTGAAACATATTCAGCCTCACATGATGAGAGTGCTACAACTTATTCCTTCTTCGAAACCCATGATATTGGTGCTTCTCCTAGAAAGAAAATATATTTTGCTGTGCTTTTCCTGTCACTTTTGTCACCACACCAATCAGCATCAGCAAATGCAATAATCTTCAGATTCTCACCTTGTTTCACCTTAGGCAGCAAAATTCCAAAACCATGCGTCCCTTGTACATAGCGTAAAACACGTTTTGCTGCATTTAGATGTGACACCCTTGGACTCAACATAAATCTGCTGATAAGTCCCACACTATAACACATATTAGCTCTGGTATTACAAAGATACCTTAGGCATCCTACAATCTTCCTGTATTCAGTTGGATCTACAACTTCTTCTTCTGGTTCCTTTTCCAATTTTAACCCCACCTCCGCTGGTGTGCTAGTAGCATTGCACATATGCATCTCTAGCTTCTTCAACATATCATTTGCATAGCGAGATTGATGCATTACCAATCCTTCCTCAGTTTCTGTAAATTCAATACCTAGGAAGTAACTCAACCTTCCTAAGTCACTCATCTCAAACTCACGCAACATCTTGGCTTTAAACTCTTGTATCAACACATCACTGTTGCCTGTTACCAGTAAGTCGTCTACATAGAGACAGACTATGAGCTTTCCTATTTGATTAACCTGCACATAGACACCATGTTCAGAGATACATTTATCAAACCCGATACCGCTCATGAACGCATCTATTCTTTGGTTCCAAGCTCTCGGGACTTGTTTGAGCCCATATAAAGCTTTGTTTAATTTATACACCATATGCTGCTGCTCCTTCTTTTCAAACCATTAAGGTTGCATTACATACACTTCTTCTTCTAACTTGCCATTTAAAAAAGCTGATTTTACATCCAACTGATGTAAACTCCAATGTAACTGAGTTGCAATTGACACCACCAGTCTAATGGTCTCAATCCTGGCAATAGGTGCATACACTTGCCCATAATCAACTCTAGCCTTTTGTAGAAAGCCCTTTGCCACCAACCTGGCTTTGTATCTGATTATAACACCTTGTGGGTTAACTTTAGTCTTGTACACCCACTTTAAGGCTATTGGCTTCTTCCCTCCAGGCAACTCAATTAATTCTCATGTTTGATTCTTCTCGATTGACTCAATTTCTTCCACCATTGCCTTTCTCCACCTCTCATCGGTCTTGATCAAACTCAACAGGTTCAGATTGTGCTATGAGTGCATAGTGAACGAAGTTACCTTCAGCCGTGACAGTGGCATCATAAAACAACTCATAATCTCACAGGTGTGTTGGCATTTGAATATTTCGTGAGGATCTTCTCAGTCTCTCACCATGTTGCTCACTGTCTGACGCAGATTCAAGAGAAGCTAGCTCATCTTTAAGCACAATTGTAGATTCTCCTTGTTGAACTATCTTCCAGTTCCATGTACTCCCTTCATCCACTACCACATTCCTGCTAACCGTTACCTAACTTATTTCAGGATTGAACAACTTATAACCACCAGTTTCATGGTAACCAACTAAAATGAATGGCATGCTTTTATTATCTAACTTCTTTCTCAGCTCATCTGGAACATCTTTGTAACAGATTGCACCAAAAACTCTCAAGTGTTTAACACTTGGTTTTACCCCAGTCCACGCTTCTTCTGGTGTGATCTCCTTCAATCTTTTGGTAGGTGTTCTATTTAGAATATACGTGGTTGTCATCACAGCCTCACCCCATAATGACTTTGGCAAGCTTTTGCTCTTCAACATGCACCTCACCATATTTAGTATGGTTCGATTCTTTCTCTCAGCTGTTCCATTATGTTGTGGTGTATATGGAGGAGTCTTCTCGTGTATGATGCCTTCATCTTCACAAAATTTGTAAAACTCATGTGATGTGTACTCCCCTCCTCCATCGGTTCTTAAAAGCTTCAACTTGAAATTACTTTGCCTTTCAACCATGTGCTTAAATTTTTTAAACACCTCCAGCACTTCACTCTTCCTTTTTAGCAGATATGACCAAGTTTTTCGGGTCCAATCATCAATAAACACCACAAAGTACTTCCTGCCTCCTGGAGTTTCTACTTGGATTGGACCACATACATCAGAGTGAACCATCTCCAACTTCTCTTTTGACTTCAAAGGTAGCAACTTTTGGAAATTCCCACGCGTTTGCTTGCATTTGACACACTCCTTACATACTGAGTTTGGTATATTAACCAAAGGCAGCCCTGTAACCATTATGCAATGACTGAGTTTGGACAAGTCATGAAAATTAAGATATCCAAACCGCAAGTGCCATAACCATTCTGAAACATTTTCTGTTGCAGTAAAACATTAATGCTTTACAACATTCATTACCACACAGAATGTCCTATTTTGGGACAGATTAGCTTTTATCATAAGCTTCCTATTTTGATTAAATATACTGAGACA